CTTCGTCAATTAAATCTAATGCTGAAAAATAATCACCCTGTCCTAATAATTCTTGTATCATTGGTTGAATAGATCTGCTCGATGATAACGTGACATTTCCAATAACAAAAAAATAGATATTAATATATCATTACTTCAAAAGAATGGTACCAAAAAATTGTAGTCATCTGAATTGATAATCGACAGAAAATATGTTGATAGCAAATGAAAAAACAACCACTTGTGAAGTCATTGTAAAATATGCAAAGATCTGATTTATTTGCACTGTTCTAAATTTCGGAACATTCAGGGAAAATTTTTTCAAAGACTTGCATTGCCACCCACCACTACTAATTAATTACTTCTTTTCCTCTAAAATGTTTCTATTGCTCAAAAAACATTCAAAAATTACTGTTCAGGAAGAAGTTTTGAAACATCCTTGGATTTTAAAACATAAAAAAACCAACCATAATGATTATATATAATAACTATAACTATTCTTATTATTATTAACATTAAAAAAAGAGGGAGTAGATAGAAATAGAAAAATAATCCTCAATAATTATAATCATCATCTGAAGTATATTAATATTTTCTTAAAGACTATTGTGGAAAAATAAATCAATATTTTTATTTCAATATTTAAACCAAAATTATATAAATAAAAACATAAAAAGCTAAGGAACGAAAATTTTATATTTGTGGTTTGTGTTACATCTACTTGTTTATAAAATTCAAAAAATCTTTTTTTCCCAAATAAATGAAAATGAATCCTTCAATTCTTACACAATCTTTCAGAACCTTGGGTGTTAGTATGTTGTTATATGTTTAATAATTTAATTCATTATATATATATATATATATATATATATCAATTAAATAAATTGAATTGAATGTCCAATTTAAAATATTTATTATCAGGATCACTACTTAGAAGTTCACTAACAAAGAATTCGGGTGCATTATCTAGTATTATATTAAAGTAAATAAAAAAAAATTCATTCTCTTTTTTTTATCAAATCTATCAATCACACAATCATTTCATTTTTAATTTATATGTGAAGGAATGCACAACAAAAAAGAAATACTACTACCACAAAATCAACTACTATTGAACATGAACAACTTCTTAATGCTCAACGTTCTTTGAGACCATTATCACCACATTTCACTATTTATCAACCACAATTAACATGGTACATGTCTTTAACTCATAGAGTAACCGGTGCTGGTTTAGGAATTGGTACGCAAATTGAAAGAGAATAAAAATATTGTTTATGATTTTTTCGTGTATGTCAAATAATTAACTTATTTTTTTCAATATTATTGTTGTTGTTGTTGTTAGTTTTGTATGGCGGCGCATCAGTTTATGCATTGAATATATTTCAAGATTCTGATACTCTTGTTACAACCATAGCAACTTTACCAACTTCAATCAAATTGGCGGGAAAATTTATTTTGGCTTATCCATTCTCATATCATTTTTTTAATGGAATTAGACATCTGGTATTATATATACGTATATCGTTTTGTTGTTATTATATATTAATTATATTATTAATTTCATAAATTATTATTATTTTTAGATTTGGGATACTGGCTATGCATTGACCATTAAAGGTGTTTATGCTACAGGATGGTCTGTCATTGGACTTTCTACGATTTCAACTGGCTTACTTTGTTTGCTTTAATTAATAATATATATATATATATATAGAGAAATAAAAGGAGAAAGAGATGTGGAATACAAATTAAACTCATTATTTATTATAATTTTCTTTGGTTAAAATGTATTGTGTTTGACATGTTTTTAAAGTGCTTATTATGTGTTTTACTATTAATAAATATTAATAATAAATATATGGTGGACCTTCGGATATTCTATATAGTTGGATCGATATTTTTATTGGAAGATGTAACGTCGATCATGTGAACAAATAAAAAAGAATGAATAGAACTAATATTATTTGTGATATTAATATTACCATTATTTAACCGATTCCCATGCCACTTCTATTTGAGGTATTTATATTTAAAAGACCATAGATGTTCTATTTGATGGTTAATATCCAATTATGCAAAGCATAATCCTGGGCACTGTATAATATATTAGTCCGAAATTTAAAGATCTTTCCGATTTAAGTAATCACATTTCTTTTCATTCAAATTCATTTCATAACAATAGTGTGAAATAACAAATAGCGTGATTCTTCAATAAGATTTTTGTATATTAATATCCTTTAAGCCGATCGATCTGCCTTTTAGGAAAACACAAGAGAAGATCATTCCGAAATTTATTTAACACAAAGAAGAAATTTTCTATTTACCGTGTCACCATCTCCTTCCGAAATTCGCAAAGTTCATAATCTTCGTGCAGGTTTTTCGCCAATTATCTCTCTTTGTGTTTAGCTGTGCTTGTTTTTTTCGGTTTTTGGCGCGATCAACATTTTCGCCATATTTAGCCAATTTTGCGTCGTACGGCAAATGTTTTAT